GTTAGGGTTTGAGTGAAAATGGTGATTTTTGATCGATATGAGCTATGGGTCTGAACCTTTAAACTTAAATAGAGTTAATAAAAGTTGTTTAGAGTATTTAAACCTAGTATTGATGGTTTTAAATGTTGTTGGTTGGTGAATGCCATAAATACCCAAAAATGGCATACATAAAGGTAGTTGGATGAGTTGAAATGCCATTAATGGAAGTATAATGACTCATTGATGACAATGAGAGCGAAAGAGAGTTAGTAAGCCCAATGGGTAGGCCTAAATGTAAAAAATAAAGGTATCAGGTGTTTTAGAAGTAGAAAATGATAGTTGGAATTGTGAATTTGACAATATTGATGAATTAGGACTTTATTACTTGCAGATTAATTATTCGAGCACCATTTGGCTTGGGAAAACAAGCTTGGAAACTTATATTGAGGGGTAAGCCTTTAACCTCTCAAAGGTTTGAGGTAACCAGAGGAACCCTATTTTAGGTAGTTGTTTATTAATTGAGCTTTAATGTAAAAATATGCATGTTTCCATGTATGGTTGAATTGTGAAATGTGAAAGCATGCCCTAAACCTTGATGATTAAATAAATTGTGAATATGCATAATTATGTTTTAACTTGAAATGAAGAGTTGAATTCAAAGTAATTTTCAAAACTATGAATATATGCATATATATTGGAATGAGAAATGTGATAATATGTGATGTGATGGTGATGATGCAGTTGTATCACTATGTGATTATGACATGCAAGATTAAATGAGAAATTAAATTGAGTATAAAATGGAGAATGGAAGTGGACAATGTTGTGTAGATAATATTGATGCTCACTTGGGCAGCGTATTATCATAAGCCCAACATGTTGATATTGAAATAATGAACTATGAAATGAGTGAGCATCATACATTACATGATCAGTTGACAAAAGTTCGCCTAAGGAGAGTAGATAAAATCCATATGATATATACGGCTTCCTTCTGGTACATGAAGGCATAGCCTTGTTTCACTATTTATCAAGGGAGTGTCCCATAGTTTGTCGAGAGACTAAAACCTAGCTATCTCTATTAGTTTGTCGAGGAAGTTAGCTTAGGGTGTACGACACCCCAGAGATTTGAGAGTAAGGGAAGCCATGGTCCAAGAGTGAGTTTTGTGATCTTTGGCTGAGTCACACCTTGCAATTGGTGAGTTTGAATAGTCCAGTCACACGGATGAAGCCTTGTTTGATATTATAGCCCATAATTTTAGTCAAAAGATATATAGAGGGTATAAAGATGGTTTGATCATGCATATGTGCTTATCTGATGTGTCACATAATTGTTTAAGTTTGTGGCAAATCAAGATAATAAACTAGGTCATTGTCACATGTCTGTGTGTTTTGTGGCAATGTGCTGTGTGATTCGAGATGAAAATTATGAAAATGAGTTAAATTGAGAAAGGACAATTTATGTTACATGTAATAGTACATATGTTAAGAAAATCAACTCCATTTATGTGTGTTTATTCAATTAATATACAACTGCATGGGGTAAGTGTACTTTAGTTATTGAGTGGCTAAACTCACCCTTCTATTTCAATATTTTTCTAGCTCTAGTGTGGAAAGAGAGAAGCTTCCAAAGGCTTAAGAATCTAGAGTTCCTACTGTATATAGCCTCTCATCTTTAATTATTTTGTGTAATGGATAAGTATATTGCCAATTAAGGTGCATTTTATTTACACTTGTACTATATTGCTTTTTATGATGTCTAGAATGTATTTTGGGCCCTAGGATGTTGTTTATGACAAATTGTAAATGTTGATAGGATCAAAATACTAGTACAAATATAGTAAGGTAGATTTAATTATGACATTAAAAATTTATTGTAAAATGCAATACAAAACCCCTCCCTTCTGTTTTTTGTAACACACCAAATTTTTTTTTAAAATAATTTAACTCAACCATAGTTAGGTTACAGCCACCCAACACATTCTTATATCAATAATTTCAATATAAAATATTTTATAATTGGCTTCAACTCACACACTATAACATTTCAGATAAACTTTTACCTCCCACGTGCCATTAGGCTAAATCACATTTGTCCATCCTTATACTCCCAACAAGTAAAATAAGCAATTTAGTCAATTTTCAACACAAGCCAGTTATTTGGCCTTATAATCATGCCATTTTAACCAATCCAAAGTAAACCAAATATCAAAATTACAGTCATCCAAATTGTATCAAAAATAGAAATAGTTTGAAAGGCATGATTACATTTATATATTCATATAATTGACAATAAACAAAAAGCCCTAATATTGGCAATATAACACATTATAAATCATAAATTAAATACCCAAAAGAGACAGTAGATCTATACCACTAAGCCTCTGGGACTCCTCCACGTGTCACTCGTGGCTCTTCTCCTAAAAATTGTTAACCACATAATGAGACTCAAAAGTCCCAGTAACCAAATCCAATTTATGATAGTGTATACAAACAGTTAAGTGTGTGCTTACTAAGTGAGAATTAAAAATAATATAATTCCAACAAACATATGAAATATTACAATACACACAAACAACCATCCTTATATCCCTCCATTAACCTCGAGCCGTAGCCCTCACTCGGTGCTAAATTACCCGGCCAAAGGTAGATTAGCCCGAGCCCTTACAAGCCACCTATTGAGCTCCAATAGGGGCGTACCACGTGGCACATAAATACAACAATAATAGCAAGTCTCCCAACACCTCCCACAATAATTAAACAAATTCATAATAATATTTCACAATTATACAATATTACAAAATTCATAATTTTCTCAATAATCACCCAATTAACATGAAGTAACACTAATCACAAATTAAAAACATGGTTACCTTGTGGCTTTTTCAATAAATTATTCCTTAAAATTTCTCTCTCACCACAATCTTCACCAGTAATACAATCTACAAATAACATATTATTTATAAATATTAGTTTTAATTTTTGAAACTAATAAAATAATTCTAATAATAGAATTAAAAATATAACATAATTCCTAATCTCAATCTTAATACAAATCTATAGTTAATACTATTAAGTAAAATTTTTAACTCCTCTTTTAATTATCAATAAACATTAATAATCTAAAAATCAACTTCTAAACTAATTTCTATTATCAAAATTTTCTTTTTATTTCATAAATTCGTACCTAAAATACCCAAAAATTAAAAATTGAGTCTCTAGCTTAGAATAATAATCCTATAACCATAATAATTCATTTCTCATCCCAAATAATCATCTAAACCACAATAAATCAACATATATTTTCAGATCTAGTTTAGAATTTGATCCATAAGCCACAGATTCAAAGATCATCAATAAATTTATACTCTAGAACATTTATTATACTACTGACAACCTCAAAAATCATATTTATTCAACATAAATTCATCCCTCTTCCAGATCTTAAATTTTCTACCACTACAAACTCAGAAACCAAAGAAGAAGGATGACTAAGAAAAATTTTTAGAACACTTACTTAGTCTTGAAAAGCTTAAAATCACACCCTAAATATCCTATTAAAAACTCTTACCTTAAAAATTTAGATATTTCGCACCGGCAACTCGCTTCTCTCCGCCTCAGCTCGCGCGCAGGAAAAGAATTGAAGAAATGAAAGGAAACGGGTGAGTTTTATAAAAATTCAGTGGGTCCCACGTCTTTTTTTTTATATTTTTTCTTCTTTCCTCTCTCTCCCCTTTTTTTTTTTATTTTATGTAATCATGACGCGGCGCCGAAAGCAATTTGTTCTTCTTCTTCTTTCCCCCTTTTTTTTAATACGTTTTTCCTTTTTTTATTTATAATAATAATTTAATAATATTTTTTTATTTATTTTTTTTAGAATTATATCCTAAGTTAGATTTAATAATCATCTCTTACTAATTTTCTTACCTCTAAATATTATTTTTTTTTTAAATTTCTATTAACCCAAATTAACTATTAAAATTTAAATTGGGATGTTACATTTTTGGTATTAAGGGGTTGAGGAGTAAAATTTTGATGTGATTGAAATTATGTGCGTGTATTGTGTTGTACAAGGAGTCTTGAGTCCTATGAATGTGTTTTGGGTGTTAGAAATAGCTTTTGGCACAAGTGTAGGGTTTTGGACACCCCTTTTAGTTATGAAAGTTGTGAAAATTTGTTTGGATGTCCAACTTCCTTGTGTGACTAAATTTAAAAGTAAAACTCATGCCATTAGCTAGTTTATGAAGAGAGTTTTTCATAAACACCTAGATTAGCTCATTTGGATGTCGGATGGAGAATTAGAGCATGTTGGAAGTTGCCCAAAATTGTTGTCATGTGACAATAAAGTTGCTGTCAAAAATGTTAAAAAAAAAAAAGTTAAGGATACTATCTCTATAATAGTTAACCAAATTAAAGAAGTCTATATATTTTAAACTAAATAAGTCTTTCTAGAGAACTGCTAAATATATTTTATAGCTCAATAACTTTCTATTAGGTCTATTGTGACCCTGAAATCTATTTGCAATCTCATCTAATTATGATTTCATTAAGCCCTTTTTAAATCTACTACAATCTATAAAATTTAATTGTGATCCTTCTCTAAGAGATTTAAGACATAAGAATAAAATTTACCTCTACTTAATCTAACATCTTTATTAATTATTTTTCAAGATTGATTAAATATTTCTATTACTCTTACAAGCCTTATTTATTTCTTTTTACCTATCCTAAGAATTTTTAAATTTTAACTTGCTCATCTCTCAGTTTCAAACACTTTCTTAAAATCTCTAAAATTATTATACTTTTCCCCAATAAAATCTTGAAAATTATATTTGCTCCCTAAGAACTATCCTCTGTTTTAAGAGCACCTTTAAAACTCTTGATTATTTACACTTAATAGCTTAATGAATTCAAACATTTTTGAGCTTTTAGGCCTAAAATCTGGGATGTTATACCTTATTAGTAAGTGATTTGTAAGCACTCTAAGCTTGGATACATAACATTGTACCAAAAAAAAAAAATTAAGTCTCAAACACCAATAAACCTATAGTTTAAAGGTAAATTACACAATACCATGGGTATATGTATTTATAAACTAATATTTTTATTACAAATGGCGATAATATTTACAAGAGACTAGTGAATGACAAGCCACGCACTAGATTTTTCACAAATCCTCAACAACGCATCCCAACTTTGATCTTCAAAATCACAGAACTGAACCAGTCACGAACCGATGATTGAGAACTGCTTCTGCAATAGGTCGTTTCCGGAAATCAGGATTAAGCATTGCCTGTAAACAGTCACAAACATGACATCGTTACATTATACAGCTTTCCATCCTATTTATAGGAGCTTACTTGCTGGTCTTTGACATAAAGTAACAAAACAACTTGCAAAATTTACAAAATATATATATTTATAACTCATTTTCAAAATTATCCTTATCACTTTTAGCTTAATTAAATGATTTTTCCATCCGTTTCTCTCCCTAATAAATTATATGAATCGAAGGGTAATTTTGTGAAGTTATAAAAAATTTCAACATCTAACAAAACTTCCTTAGTTAATCCCTCCTGTTATGCATATATTGAAATATGCATGTTAAAATATCTGATTTCCTTATATATTAATTAGATATTGAATCAACATATGCACCATTCAATGAATCAAAATTTTGAAATAAATTATATCTATTGTTTTTAGCCCCAAATAAATATATTGAAATATTTAAAATTTTGACTAAATCTACCTTTAGTCCTCTAACTCTATAAGGTTTCAATTTGACCTCTTAATTTTATAAAGTATTTTTTTAGTTTTCTAACCCCAACACCGCTAGTTTTAAATAATTATCTTTTGCACCAACCATTGTTATTTTATAAAATTAAACTTAATATATCAACATTTGACAATTTTTTATCAATATTCAGAAGTTCAATGTGAGAATTTTTTTGTTAGTGAAACTTCCAATGTTAGAATTAAAGAATTGAAAACAAAAGACATGTTTCAAAATAAGAGATCAAAATGAAAATTTGTGTAAAACTAAAAGACTAAATGTGCACTTTTAGCCTCAAATTTTTAACTGAAATATCAATATTATGTTTGAAGCTTTTTTTGGTCAAAATGAATATTGTTGTAGTTGTAGAATTTTTTTCCAATGAGGGGAAATTGAATAATTAAGCCATCATAATTATTCCCAAAAAAAGAGGGAGACTAACAAACATGCAAAATTACCTGAAGTAACTCCCAGCCAGCACCATTATCCAGATCCAGGAACTCAACAGCATTTTCTAATCGGCTATCTGCTAGACAGTACCTGCCAAAGGAAGCAGAAAAGTGGGCAAGACAAGGCTACCAACATAATTTGATTAATTTCTACAAAAAGAAAAAGGAAAAAAAAAGGGCTAAGAACCTGAATCTGGAATTTTACAGATTATCAGGCTATTACTAATTTTATTTGGTCAGTTATCCTAGAAAAATAAACTGTAATTTCATTCTTATAATTTGGTTAGTAAGGAATTTAGCCTTAAAAAAAAGAAAGAAAAGAAAATTTAGCAAACTCAAATAACTACAAATCAAAATCAAAACTTTAGAATGGTAAATTAGAGCTAAGCAATTAGACAGTAAAGTGTTTCTTCATATGTGGTTCCCCTTTACATTTCATTTTCAAAATATATATATATATATATATATCTACACATGCTTGACGCCCATAAATTGCTAATTAAAACTCCTTTCTCAATCATTTTCATCTGCACATTCAACAAGTCCGTTTATCCCCAAAAAAAGACAATATTAGTTTAACAATTAGAAGGAAGGCTCACATTAAGGAACCAGAACAGATGGAAACTAAATGCATTTTTCTGACAATTAACAAATCTGTACTCCTTGGTCCTAACTCATTTAAACATCATCTTGCATGAATACAACACATTTTTGTTTGTTTCATTTTGACCTACTATATTAACAACGTACAAGTCTCAATACAGTCAGTGAGGTATATATCTCCAGTCAAGATTCTTAAAGCTAGGCATTAACATCAAGACACATGAAAGATGGAGGTCAAAGATCTGGTGTGGACAACAATTTGATCTTAAATTTTCCCTCAAACAAAAGGAATTAAACAATAGTAACATAAAAAAGAATAAAAGCACAGGATGACAATTATAAGTTGAACCACTACCAATGAATGGTGGAAATTTTCAGAAAGACATGACTTTGAAAATACTCAGCTTATTTAGGATGAAATACGCAAATGTGTGTGTGTAAAAGTGTTTGGGCAAAAGATGGCGAGGGGTCGCCATTTAGCTCAGAAAAGATATGCCACAGCAAAGATACAGTAAAACAGTGAAATTCTAGGTTCTAAGAAAGAAAAAGAACCGTGGAAATGTCTTAATCATAATATAAGTAGACTACAAGGAAAACACAAATAAAACATAATTTATGCTTGGGATTTTCAGCAAATGGTTTTTATCAGCATGAGACATTCAAGAATGGATGTGCTATATTAATATGCTGCATAAAAACTGCCCAAGTATAGGAATCAGATGGAGTGATAGGAAGTAAATGAAAGCTTGATTTGTACTATTGTCCTGTTAATTCATTTTTGTTTTATAATTATATATGAGTAATTTTAAAAGTTTAAAAATTATTTAACAAGTACAATTTGATATTTTTATTTAAATAAATTTAATATATCATGACTATATATGACTAGTTTTATTAATAACATTAATCTTATTTTAAAAATTTTAAATATCAATGTAAAATTTAAATAAATACGCAGAAATCCTATCACTCCAAATAGTTGCAATTACTTCTGAATAAACAAATCAATAAGATGTGGATTCCAAACTTCAGAGTTCAGACAACTTACCAACAAGTTCTTTTATTCTTTCTTTTTTTAATTAAGATATGCATATGAGGTCACTAAAGAGACCAGACCTCCAAAAGCATATACTACAACTATAGTAAGATTCCACAACCAAAGGAACAATTAAATCGTAAAATAACAAATATCTAGCATCAGTGTATTTTGTATCAAATATGAACCAATTCGCATCTTACTCCCGTGTTGCTCCAACATCAAGTTGAAAAGTGTTCTCCAGAAGCCTCTGAATTTCATGCGTAGGGGGAAAAAAAATTAGTGTACTATGGATGTTATCTTGTGAGAAGAATTTTACAGCTTTTCAGCTACAGAAAGAATAAATTCAAATTTGAATCATATCTTACTTGCAAGGAAATGCTATCCATTATACCAGCTTCACAAAACGGAACAAAAGCCAAGTATGCAAAAAGAAGTCCTGCTTCATATCTGCATCAGGATTCAAAACATAAAAACCTAAGAATGATGCAGCAGGAACTTCTCCATCTAGCCAAGTTCTGATAATTTACATGTCATCAGCTATACCAAAAGCTCTTTTCTCCAGACGTGTCACTGCACCAGCAGCTGATGCTCGTCTCCAGAGCCCATTTGCTAGTGATGGAGGATAGTCTTCTAGCTTTGAGTAACTAGAATAATTTATTTAAATGTAACACTGTCAATTTTTAGAATCAAGACATGATTAGTTAGCGTGTTTCTTGCTAGAATCAAGACATGGTTAATTAGTCAAAGAGAGATCACGCAGAGAAATGGAAATAAGGAGTGATCACAATGAGTTGATTGATGAAAATTAAGAAGTTCAAATGCTCTCAGTGAAGAATAAGTTGATGTGAAACAAAAGTTGTCTGTGGAGAGTGCATATGTATTCAAACTAGTTTATAGGTCAAACCAAACCAGGATTAGGCTTAAATAATTTGAAACCCTTTGAAAAGTCATCAAAACCACCAAAACATAAATAAATAAATAAAATGAATCACAGCCTGATAAAGCTAGAAGTCTATTTATCAAAGGAAAAAAAAAAAGCCCTTAGAGAATAAGCTTCAAGAATCCAAGAAGACTTGACTTCAAAGCTGGGTTTGCTCAACATATATAACCTAGCCTTGTGGTGGCATATTACAATTCTATGATTGCTGCCTATTTAGATTTGCAAATCATTCCACCTATCACGTCAGTTAGTAGTGCACAGGTCATAATGTTCAGAATCTGGAACCAAGGGATGAGTATGAAGAAAGTTAGTGTACTGTATATGAAACACCAATTTTGACATAAACCTTAACAGTATGTTACAGTAACACACTATCCAGTGCACATTGATTGAATATGTCTAAGCAATTTAATTTTAACATAAATACACATCAAACAGGAAAAAGACAAACTAAATAACACTTGTCAATCTCATATGTTTATCCATCGAAGGTTGGTCAATAAGTAGAAAACATGTTAATTACTGTCAAAGCGCTTTGGAAACCATTAACTCACCTGATATCAACAGAAAAAGCTAGATCCCGAAGTCTTGGAATCAAATAACGAGCCTCTCTTTCAGAAATTGTGCTGTCATCATATCACAAACACAGTAAAAGAGGAGGTGTGGAGTGAGAATAAAATGTAATGACGGGAAGATTTTGAACTGGAATACTTTATAATTAATTGCATACTTGAGAACCACAGAAGATGGTCCTAGACTTTGGTGCAATCTGTCATGGCCATGCATGTAAGCTAGACCTCTCATAGCACCCTGAAGCAGCTTCATAATAAAATATCTCCTTCTCTTCATTGTTTGTTCTTGCTCAAAGCAATTCCAAGAAGACACCTCTTTTAAAGAACGGTTTTTTGATACCCTTTCACTCATAGCTTTTGCATAGTCTGCCACGCTATATTTCCCATCATCACGAAAAGCAAGCCACTAAGCCAAGTAAATTTCTTAGATACAAGTAACAAAATTAGAGCCTTAAGTTCACTGAATTTATTTCAATCTCAGATGACAAACCTGCTCCCCCGTTCTTGTTTCAAACCCTCCTACAAGTGTCAAAAGATGCTGACTTGTATGTTTTGGACTGCTCTGGAAGGGAAAAAAATAAATGTAATCATGAAATATTAGAATAGTAATCAAATAATTATATAATCTAAAGAGTAATACGCATATCCTTTTACATTACTTGAAGAAATAAGTGGGCATTCAATTCATTAGCAGCCATCATGTCAGCCTCAACTCCACCAGCTCGTTGTCCAGGATAAACCTTTATAGTCAAGAGTCTCTATGCTCAATACAATGTATTATTGTAAATATTTGATTTGAACAGATAAGGAAAACAATCACAATGCTACCTTGAAAACAACTGAAGTTCCTCTAAGGGGACCCTCAGAAACTCTACCTTCATAAAGTCTGCAATAGAGCTGCCATGAGTATTATCAGTATTCAGGACAACATACTTCGCATTTAGTTATCTATTGTCCACATCACTTGATTAAACCCTACGGTAATTACTTAATCTTTACACTGCCTTCGCGGACATCTTGGATTTTCAGTTCTCCCAAATCTCCAGGTGAAAATTCAGTAATTGCACCAGAGGGGAAGGCTGGATAGCTGCGCAAATGAAGACAAGATGCAAAGAAAAAAAAACGGAAGAATAAATTTCCACTGTCAAAATATTATCTGTAAGATGTAAATGAACCAGATACTAAATTTAAGACACGAGGCAAAGTATTAAAAGCACAACAAATAGGCAATGAGCAAAAATAAATAAATGAGACAATGGGCATCAATTTGCTTCACCACAAAGGAAGAGACACAGATTATTGGTGCTTTATCATTTCTTCTTCCAATGTAAAGAAGCAAGTAACATGGAAAATAATCTGAGAACTAATTCTTAATTCCTTCCATTATCCTTTACCAATGGGGCTTAATTTCGTATATTAGAAAACCTAGCACAATGCTCGGTTCTATTTATTATCGTCAATCAAGGGTTCAAAGAAAAATGTGTTGAACAAACTGATTAACAAAAATCGCTTTTCCGATTGAAAAAAATTATAACCAGTTGAATTACCAATTCCTGAGGAGAAGCACTTAAAGAAACTAGCCAATGAAAATCCTGAACCACCCAATGGTTTACTCAGACCGACGTTTTGCAAGATGCACTTGAAATTAAGGAAAACGAAATCAATGAAAGTCGAAGAAACCAGGAAATTTCCAAGCAAAACCAAAAAAATAAAAGAAAACCGGACGAAAGAGTTAAGTTTGAAACCTGGTGACGTTCATGAAGCCATAGCTCCCGATGAGTCGTCCCACTACGAAACACTCAGAGTTGGTGATCAGGCTCGCTTTACAAGGCCGGGTCTTCCGAATAGCGCTCAATGAGCTGAAGGTCAAGTTTCTCAGGGGAGGGAAAAGGGTTACATGAAGGGAGTGGAGGAACGCAAGACAGTCAGGGGTTGTAGAAAGCATGGCTTTCTGAGTGCTGCGTGACCAGGAGATGGCTGTGATGGGCAGAGCGCGAAGATCCCAAATAGATAAGACGATCATTTCAGGCAAAATTTAATTCTCTGAAATAATTTTGGGTTTATACCAATTTTGTCCTTAAATTATCTTTTAAGAAATATATGGTGTCATATATTATACTTTTTTTATCTCAAATTATAAGATATTTTAAAAAAAATTATTTTAAAATATAAGATACTTTAAATAGATTAAAGTTTTATTAAATATATCAATTTTAATATTATTATTTCTCTCTCTATAATTAATTTCCATTACTTTTTTTAATCTATTAAATGATGAGTTTTTTAAAAAGTTTATATTTTTAATTTAAAAAGATAAAATTATTAAGTATATTTAATAAAATTTATTAATATATAAAATTTTATTTAAAAATATTTTATAATTTAAGATGAAGGGAGTAAGTGGGACAAAATAATTCATTAACTAACATCCAATTGTTACAATGTATTTTGAACCAATGGAGGTTTATTACATATTGTAGGGTCCCTCACGAATTTAACAGGCAACAATATCTTCATTTGACTAGGTGGAGCCAAGTAATGTATTTTGAACCAATGGAGGTTTATTACATATTGTAGGGTCCTCACGAATTTAACAGGCAACAATATCTTCATTTGACTAGGTGGAGCCAAGTAATTGAATTCCTAAATTAATTGAACCTAACTTCCTAAATTCTTGTTGTTGAGTAATTCATCCTTAATGAGTCAAGCCCAAAATATAAGTCCAATTATAGCAGGCTTTATCAAAATATTAGAGAAGTCTGAGTGTTTTTGTGTAATAAAATTGGGGATTTAAATGTAAAATTGCCACACTATCACCACGTGGGTGGTTTATAGGCCAGAGAGAGAATTCTCCATATTCTACATTTTTAGATAATTAACTCCCGTTTATTTTATCTCATCCCTTCCTCTGTATCTTTTGGGTAACATGAATTGAGATTGATGACATAATTCTGTTCCTGCATTCGTTCTTCCATATGGTGCAACATAACAGGTATGTCCTCCTCTTTCAAATCTCACACTTGACATAAATTCAGGAATTAATATAAGCTACTTCAAGAATTCATATCCTCTCAAAAATCAAGCTTCCAAACCAATATTTAAATTCCAAAATTCATGTACCTTTTTATACTAGAATTCATTTCTTGTTAAGCTTGATAAAATTAACCTTTCAAAATGATCACTTTTGAACTTTCCATATTCTTACAAATTCCAAAATTATTTCTTTTGACTTTTGGAATTCTTTATTCAGCTTTAAAATTTATTCTGAGTTATCATCTTTCTGCTTTATATTTCACTCTATTCAAAAACTAATGCTTCGAAAATAAACGCCCTACCATTCCCTACCAATCACAAAATAAAAGCTTGAACCTTGAAGGCATTTCAGATTCATTACAATATCCCTGCCATTCACAAAATAAAAGCCCAAAAGCATTTGAAATTCTGTAGTCACTATCTTCATAACTTCCTCCATCACTCTCTTCCTCATTGTCATCACTCTCACTCTAATCTTCAATCTCCTTAGTTAAATAGAGGGCTTAAGTATGATTTTATTGTGTCAAGAAGAACTTAATACCTTCGAGATTTGTTCAGATTTCACTTTGAGATTCTTTCTTTTTGTTATGAGTGATCAAGCTTTACTTTGTCTTTTGTACCTTCTTCTAGAAAAGGAAACTTCAAGCACATGATACCCACTTTTCTAAGGCTCACAATTTTACTCCTTGCATCTTCACCTTCTGAGAGAGCTTTTGGTTAGGTTAAGGTGTGCATCACTCAAGCTCGCTCACACTAAATAAAAAAGTGAACTTGATCTTTGGTTAGGTTAGAGCTAAAGCATACAAACTCAACTCCCTCCTCGCCATTCTATCTTCTGCCTCAGCCATGCAGACGTCAAGGAGATTAAATTTCACCACATGTTATGCCACCTGCACAAGAGCTCTAGTCAAGTGAGCTCCTTCACCTGATCGACTAATATTCATTGGCTCAAAAGAGACAGTAAGTGTTAGACATTACAATTTTAATTAGTTCATGAATTATTTTGTACCACCTCATAATATAAAATATCGAATGCTATTCAAAAAATAATTTAAAAAAATAATCTTTAACCCAATAATTTTTAATAGGAACCAAGTATGTATTTTAGCCAGTTGTAATATTAACAATTTCAATCAAGTAATTTTTAATAATTTCAACTACATGCTAACTGGGTAATAAAAAGAGAAAAATATAGAATTTAAAAGAGATAAGCCGCGCATATTTTTAAAGGACTTATGTATAGGTGTTGCCGAAAAAACAAAAACCTTTTATGTAAAAATATTTCATCTTTTCAAGTCCGTCTACGGTCAACTCTTATTGATGCCCTTCTCTGGGGACTAGTTATAAGTCTAAATGATCATTTTTATCGTCAAGAAAATGCACAAGTTCCATCCTGATCCGCCCCTGCCTAGAGATTGTTATTTGTTGGGAAGCTGATTGGATCAAATCTGTCCGAGAAAACCGACCCACATGGCGACATCTGATTAGTAAATAAATTACTCACCGGCACCGCCTCCTGTTGTAATAGAATCTAACTACTTTCTCATAGACTCTTGCTTGCGTGCCCGTGCTTCGTGCTCATCGCATATCAGGATGAGCCATTGATTTCATCCTATTTTAATTTTATTTTTAAATATATTTAATATTGCATTATTAAAATAAAGATTCATAAAAAATAAAAAATTTTAATATTAAATTTGGATTGTTTTTAATGTTCAAGGCTGAGTACCATGTTACTTGTCACTACTGATAAGATCTAAACTGTTTAAATTTAAAATTTTTATTTTTATTTTATATTTATCAAAATAAAAATGCATAAAAATTTTAAATTTTATAAAAATAAATATGTTTATAATCAATCTAGCTAATGAAAATTTGATTTGAATTATCTAGTTTAATATTAAAAATTTTATAATTTTTTAAATTGACTATTCATGCATCCTTTAGATCATACAAATATTATCCAAATAATCCAATTTAATATTAAAAAATTTTATAATTTTTATAAATTGACTATGTAAATATATTCTGGATATTACAGTTTTAATATTAAAAATTTCATATTTTTATTTAGTGATACAATATTAAAAATAATGAAAAATAAATTTAAAATGAACAAAAAAAGATTATTAAAAATGACAATAAAATCTCTCTAAATTATATAAGTGACAATTTGATATATTGAAATATCATAATTCTATTGAAGTCCCTATAAACTTTTATGTCATGAATAAATTTATACAAATAATTAAATTACCCTTATAACAATATCAAGAATTTGATATGCGAACCTGTGATGTAATATTGTATTATTACAAATATAAAAAAATTGTAATTATTTAAATAAAACTTATAATCACAAGGGCAATTTTTATTTTTAATAAAGGTAATTTAATTATTTATATAAATTTATTAATGATAAAAAAGTTCTTAAAAATTTTAATAAAATTATCACATTTTAAAAAACTAAATTAGAATTTTATTATTGTCCTTTTAAGATTAATTGAGGATGAAATCAAGGGTTTGGACGAGCCTAGGCCCCGGCCAAACAAGCCATGCCATCATAAATGAGGACACCTATCGAATACAATAAATTTATGTTGTAGCCATCTACCCAAATGTAGGGCACTCGATGCTAGAAACTTCAAGCTTGAGCTTAGTGCTCCTAACTCGAGAGGAGCAGAAGCGAACTCAATACTAGAGTAAAAAGTTGCTCTTGGTTGGTTTACAAGTTACTCAGAAATGTATAGTAAAGGACGAAATTGAATGGGAGATAATGGACAAGAGTAATAATCCAAGTGGTCAAAAAGAGAGGGCCCATTGTTATAGATGATAACACCTCCTGTAAAGTACTCACTTTGCCAATGAAATCAATCAAGACTGCCGGTTTCTCCTCCTTTTTCATTAAATAAAATAAAATATATGAGAATTTGGGGAGCGAGGGTTGAGCAGGAAGGGACAGATGACAAGCACTAAGTTAAGAAATAAAAGGAAGATGGGAAAGAGATGTTTGTCTCAATCATGGGAAAGGAAGTGAAAACAGTAGGCACGGCATGTGAAAGTGGTGATTATAGTAATAACTAATACACGAATTAAAAACCACCCGCTCTCTTTTGAATTTATTTTGGTTGCCTGAATAAATCCAAACTCAAATGGGAACCAAATTGTTTTTTTATTTATAATAATATGAAATTAACATCCGTCTCAACTTTCACTTAAAGTTTGTAAGCCAACATCCAAAGTTCACAAGTCACTGGCTCTATTTGTTTCCCTAGAGGTTGCGTTTCGGGGTCACCTCCATGATCGTTAATCAGCCCATCCGAAGGAATACGTTGGAGTGCTGAAAATGTGTGTCATTAATGGGCCTTGAAACCTGTCCCAAATCTTTAGCCTTGGTATCCATTTTTCCAGCTGGCTTGCGATTTTCCTTAACTCGGGATTTCATTCTAAATTCTCCACTCCTCTTTCTTCCGAGTGGGACCCACTCTCTTCGGTCACATCCATTGACTTCCTTTCCAAATCTCCTCCCCTCGGATTCCCTTCTCACAGTCTTGAAAATCTTCTCCTTACTTTTCCTGGCACCCACATCACGTGATTCCTTTTTATTATCCCCCTTTATTTTTATTTTTTTGGAATGAAAACTGAAATACAATACAAAACACAGGAAACAAAATACATTAATAAATAAATAAATAAATAAATTTATCACCCTCCATCATCTTTCATATCAAAATTGAAATATGAATGATGATTTTAAAGAAGCAAAAATTAACTTTTTGAGTGTGAAGTAGTCTAACTAAATAATCAGCATCTCTATATTATTTAGAATCGAAATTTGGACCAAATCTAATAGATTAGTCTAAACCTGCGCCAAAAATTTATTCTCAAGGCTAAAAAAATAATAATTTTTAATGTTCAGATTTATTTAAATGGTCCAAATAGGTTTGAGAAAATTCGAGCCAAGCTCGAAGTTCGGGCTTGCCTAAATATC